ATTACTTTTAGCTGGAAGAAATATTTTTTTTTGTGTCCTGAAAGAGAAAGGGGTTATAAGCATATACGGCTTCATAAGCCCCTTAATTACTTAGTTGCCATTTCCACAAACCCCTTACACTCGACAAGAATTACAACAAATGCCAATTTTAGGCATTCATTTTTGTACGTCGTATGGGACACCAAAAAGTATTGAATTAAAGTTTTTAAAGCCGGTTTACTTATATTATGGACTGTTTGAACTCAAATGAAATTCTAAATTTTCAGTCAACTCTCACAAATTTTTATATCCACATTTGTTTTCTTATAATTAGACTCAAGTTTATGTTTTAGTCTGAGGTGTGGCATAATGACTGTTTTAAGCCTTTCGTTATCGAGAGGTTAAGCGATCATAATACAACCTTGTTGATGTTTTTTACACCATGTGTAGTAACAATACGCGATGTATTTTCATTTTCATGGATATTGTATCCTAGGTTTTAATAGCGATGACAGAGGAAGGTGAGTTCTCTTTTGTACAGTACTTTTTGCTATCTGAATAACAGCGCCATACTTTAATCAACAAATTGAAAAGGCTGTATATTGTGATGTTATAATATGTGTTTATTTATGGTGCAAATGAACAGTATTATGTTGCTACTGACTTTGAGGAAACGGCATGCTAAAGAAGAATCATCCTTTCAACTGAATAGCTCATGGTTGTCACGTACAAATTCCTGCAGACTTTAGAAATAATTGTTGTTTTGCTTCTCTTACAACGTAGCTTGAAGTTAATGCACGTACGCGTGTAGCTGTATTTTTTGCTCTTCATTCTAATAATAGCTCTTTTCGTCCTCTTTCTTATATACATAATAATAGGTAACGACAAAAAATACATGACGTACTAAATAATTTAGTTGCTACGAATTATGTTTGAAAGCTGGTTTATAACGGATATGATGTAAATGCAGCTTTAATGTTCTTAAAAGTGAAACCGCTAATGTCCCTGTCATACGTGTTTCTTATGTATCTCACTCGAAAATCATTTAGCAGTAAAATTGCACAGTGTGATTCATCTCCTGGGAGATCTTCACGCTTTGGGAAAAACCGTGTTCCTGCCCTTTGTGTCCTGAGTTACCGCGCGGCTGGAGATCATAATTGTACGTCAAACACTTAATTCAAGTTGCATTATTTAATTATTTCAATTGTGATATCTCACTACGTCCAGGCTATGGTAAGATAATAGTTACCGAGTAGACTGGAGTAACGGTAACGCAAAACATTTGTGTCTGGGAAGTTCTTGGTTCGAGTCTCGGCTGGTACATCGGCTATGCTAATGAAGATTGCATTCCAATTCTCTGATAGTACACCGATTAGGCTATGGCCATCTCCTTCCGAATCTTTTCCAGTTCATTCTTCACCACTCGTGCTGTTTGACACTGTAGTCTGACATGCTGACAGCATCACAAAATGAAGCAGAAACAAGTGAAGTGTGTGTTTAATGGCGAAGGTAAAGACTGTTATTTGCGAGTATATATGTATAATTTCCACGGCGTGATTTAATTGTTATTTAGTTTTCACGTTTTGGGGGGAGATATTATCTTAATATATACTGCGTTGTATCGCCGAGTGCATTTTTGTGTCTGGTTGCCATTGATAGGTATGGAATATCTCATCTCTATATTACATATATTACATAGACTGAGTGGTTTATCTGTCAGGTCTCATGCGTTTTTTTTTTCCTTTTGTCTATAGGCGAAGACCGATAGTCTTCGGCACGTGGTCAGCGTTCCATAATGTACGTGTATTATGCTCAAAAACTATTTATTTGCCGTAACAAACTGATACACCAGTAATACGAGTCCTCATGATTTCTGCAAAACTATCAGATTAACAAATGACTTTCCGCCTAAAGAGGTTGTCACTACCTCAGAAAATACTCCACAGCGTCGAACTAAATAATTGTTTATGTTTATACATAAAGGTAAAGAAGGTAAAGTTGTCCCTGTGCTTAACTAATTAAGCACTACGCCACGAAGGCGTATGGAGGAATGGGTGTGTAGATCCACATTTTATTGACCTTGGCATACGTATGTATGCTAATATTCATTCGTTTACACGAACCCGTGACTGAAATGATTGGAAGGAAGAGCCTACTGGCTATGAACTCATAGAGAACGGATCTACAACGCAGAACAGATTTTTTTCCCCCTTGGCACTACAGCCCCAAGGGGCCTAGGCGTACCTCCATGAACTTCTCCGTTCACTTCGGTTTTTCTAGATCTTCTTCGGTAGGACTCCTTGGGCGGGTGATCAGCTTGTCGCAAGGCCTCTACCTGTACACAAACACAGAAAAACGCACACACAAACTAAACATCCATGCCCTGAGTGGGATTGGAACCCACCATCCCGGTTTTCAAGCGAGCGAAGACGGTACATGCCTTAGACCGCTCGGCTACCCTGACCGGCCGCAGAACAGATTACCATGTCTTGAAACAGGTTTCGCCGAACTATTTTTAGAGTAATCGCCAGAGGCTTCAATTTTTTTCGTAAAAGAATATCCATAGTATGTTACATAAGGGAAGAGAGTCCGTTACTTCAGCAGGAAGTTTCTACTACAATTTTAGTCGCTTGGAGCTATTTACCACTTGCCTTTCCGTTATTACCTGCCATGTATGATTTTAGTTTGTTGGGATGGAACGTTTTGTTCGATGAATACCGTAGAGTTCCCTTTAGAAGTATGATCCTTCACTAGGACGCTAATGATGTAGACAGAACTGCATTTGTAGGAGTTCGCAATAGGTTTTACAGAGACGAACATTTTCAGAAGAAAAATAAATTTGCTCATTTATAAGCAATAAATCATATTAATAAGATCTAAAAGTTTGTGTCGATGGTACATCAGTACAAATATTGTGTTTCCGGACATTATCGATCGTCCTGACTTTATCTAAAAAGACCGCCCTGTTTATTTTTCAAAACACACCGTTTCGGAGACTGGCTTCTCTTTCCGTCTTCAGTAAAATTTACTCAGTTGGGACCAATCGATAGAGCCAGTCCTTATCTCTGGTCCAGATATAGGGGCCTAGCTGAGTAAGTTTTACCTGAAGACGGACACAATTCAGTCTCCGAAATTTTATGTTTTGAAAAATAAACAGGACCGTGTTTTTAGATAAAGACAAGACATTGGACGATGTCCAGAAACATTATATTTGTAATAAATTATATTTTCACGGTGAAATTGCTCTCTTACTTTTTGAACTTGCAGTCGTGAAATTGGAGGAAGACAAATTTTTATTTAAAATGTAATTAACTTACGTGTATGTCGGTTCCCTTTTATAAAGTGAATTAGACATGAAGAGGAATGCAAATACTTTACAATGAGATCGGGTTGGACTATCTGACGTACGTGGATATCTCTTGTAATACACAAATTAATCCTTTACAAATGAGTTCCTTCTGATTTTCAACACTCATCCATAAATATATTATATTCGTGATGCATCCGTAAGTATGTATGTAACATACGCACATGTATATTTGAATGATGCATATGAATTGTAAAAAATAAAGTCTAGTATTACGAAATACACTTCGTAGATTTACTAATGTTTGTTCTGCTCGAACTACCTGAGATGTATCATAATGTAGAGCAGTTCATGTGGGCGTGGGTCAGAAAGTTTGTGATTGTACTTATGAGGGACTTTTGTACATATTTTACATTTGAGGTTCTTTTAATTTCTTCCGTAAGTTTATTGTTTTTTGATAAAACTTGAATGTAGAGGGAAGTGGACCGCCTCTGTGGTCTAGTGGTCAGAGTTCCTGGCTACAGATCCAGAGGGCCTGGGTTCGATTCCCGGTGCTACCAGATTTTCTGAAAAGTCGGTCTGGAACTGGGTCCACTCAGCCTCGTAAGATGGATTATTGAGGAGCTACTTGAATGGAAAAGTAGCGGATCCGGTCTAGAAAACCGAAATTGACGGCCGTGGAGATCAACACTTCATTCGGAGGCTTATTGCAGTAATAAGTGTATGCCACAGACATTCCTCTATTTGGCGGTTTGATGTGTGGTAGAAATTCGAGTTAAATTATGGCCGTTGCAGATCGCTACAGAGAAATGCCTAACTCCAGATTACACTGATATGTCTTGCTTAGGTGCATTCCGTCAGATTTTGGTACGTACTGTGTAAAAATCGCTGAACAGTTGACTCAAGAACTTAATGACATATTAATGACATTGAAGGTACCCTCATGAGGCCGAGAATGTCTGGTTCTTATGAATAGTAAACATAGGAAGTAAAATGGGCAGAATGCCAGAGTTGTATCGAGTATGGAAGAAAACAGGACGGTACGTCAGCAATCACCATGCTTGGTTTATTTTTATTTAAAAAGAAAGAAAGAAAATAAAAAAGGATTTGTGGTCACAGCGACCTCTCATGTCTAGATGCGGAGTTCTGCTTAATGAAAAAGGACTGGTTCATAATGAGCCATTATCAGGCTCTTCTAGAATTAACGTTGTCAGTGTTTGGATCACAACCATTTTGCATCTCGTATAAGTCGTTCGGGCCGATTACATTGGTCGCGCGGTGTAAGGCATGAACTGTCTTCCCCCGCTCGAACACTGGCGTCGTGGGCTCGAATCCCACACGAGGCATGGATGTTTGTTTACGTTTATTCTTTGTGTTGTTTTGTGTGTAGGTAGCTGCCTTGCAACGGGCTTCCAAAGAGTCCTACCGACTGTGTATAGGATTAAGAAAGTGAAAAAGCGGCCAAGGTCCAAAGGGCTATATAGCCATAGAGAGAGAGAGAGATAAGGCGTTCCGCGGTGTTCAGACTTTAGCGTTGAGTCGCGTGGTAGTTGTGGCTGCGCCATAGCGGGTAATACTGTACCTCTTTCACGCAGCTCCGAACTCAGGTCACACACAACCGCCTGCATATGTTCGCAATCGGAAGTAAGAATTCCAGACATTCCAAAACAGCATCCGTTTGTAATGTGTGGTTTGCATTACAATCTAAGCTTACCTGCATGGGAATTCTCGCTCGCCAAGACACAGCTCGAGACAATCTTGTCGTGAAGCAGCTACGTGTTGCTTTCTAGAGAAGCCGGACAATTGATAGGCTTGCACTCGGTCGAAACACCACGCCCGTTCGCATGGCTTCACGCCCAGACAAGTCTTCTGTGCGTAGATTGTGAACACTGGGAACTGCGACCTGGTCAGCGCTCCTGTAAGGCACCGCAAGACAAATGTTTTGATAAATTGATGACTATTTCACACATGTCAAGATGAACTTTATACTTTGAGATATGCTTTTGGACGAACAACAACACGCGTTTTAGTCGAACCAGTTCGTTAAATCTCGGCCAGGACATCGACCGTCATGGTTTTCCTCAGGTCCTCAATTAAAATGGGATAAACAAACAAAAAATCCGTGATTTTAGTCCGCAAGCGAGCTATACCGACCGAGCGACTGTCGCTTGTCGGCGAAGTTTAGTGTCAACTTTTGCGGATAGAGGGCGTTGGCTTGGTCAGCGCAACGAATCCCCACAGCCGTTAATTTGTTTCTTTTTTTTTTCTTTTTTCAAAATGTCGGGATAGGACCTCAAATTAAGCCAAGATTGCTTCTTTCATATCATTTCAAATTCTTTATTCACAGATAATATATAACTATATAACTAGACGCTGTATAGCCTCATCTACTGACGGTTTCGTTAAACAAACCGTAATAAATATGCTGGATTAGAGATTATCAGATGTAGATTGTAGACTGTGTATAACTTGAATTATACACCAGCAAATTTAGGGGTACAAAGTTGAAGATAAATTATATCTGGGGGTACTCGAACAAAGAAGATTGAATACCACTGGTTTATAGGAACCGGGATGGCACAGTCGGTATAGCGACTGGCTACGGGCTGGGCGAACGAGGGTTCGGAGTTCGAGTCCCGGAAGGGTCAAGAATTTTTTCTTCTCCACGTAGTGCAGACCGGCTCTGGGTCCCACCCAGCCTCCTGTCCAGTGGGTACCGGGGCTAAAGCGGCGGGGCCTTGAAGCTGACCACACCTCCAACTAGCGCCGAGGTCAAGCAAATGTGGAACTATTCTNACTGGCTACGGGCTGGGCGAACGAGGGTTCGGAGTTCGAGTCCCGGCACGGTCAAGAATTTTTTCTTCTCCACGTCGTGCAGACCGGCTCTGGGTCCCACCCAGCCTCCTGTCCAATGGGTACCGGGGCTAAAGCGGCGGGGCCTTGAAGCTGACCACACCTCCAACTAGCGCCGAGGTCAAGCAAATGTGGAACTATTCTTGCACTCCCCCATACTTCTTCATGGCGTAGTGCTTAATTAGTTAAGCACAAAGACAACTTTACCTTTTTACCACTGATTTATACTACCTTCATCGTCACTGTTAATAATTCGTACCCTCTACACATTGCGTTAAATTGTCTCATTTAATAAAGGTGGTGGTTGTTCACGGTTTTTTAAGTTTGTTGTTTAACGACGCTCTCAGTATGGAGACTGTAGTTGTAGAGCATCCATTTATGTATGTTATCTCTCTTTACTATGTACTGTTATGTTTATAATACGATGCAATTTTGATATTCAGACGTTTTCAGTCACTTGTGTGCGCTTGCAGATTACATTCCATTGCACATCCATATATTGAAATCATACTCAGTAATACCTGATTCATCCGCTTTTATGTTCAAAATATCTTCCAAGTGAGTGTTACCTTAGGCCTGACAGGAGAGACTGAAAGTTGACAGGATTCCAATTGTGGTTCTCTCAAAACAGAGGATTAATTGCAGGCCGATTATACACTAGTATCCAGTCTCGTGGAGCAGCTCTCCATCAGAAGCTTATAGGCGCTGAGCTGGTCAGGAAAGTTCTCTTTTGCGGAACTCGAGGGTTCTCAAGAGCCCATTGCGCCACGTGAATTCAGTCTATACTCTTCCCGTTCTTTTCAGGTTTTCTGACTAAAATTTAGTTTGCATTTTTCATCTCTCAGGTTCATAATAACATGCCCCGCCCGTTTCATCCTCGTTGACGCCATAACCGCAATAATATCTGAAGAATGTACAGGATGATTCTAAATTATTGTTGGGGTTTCCGTAGGGTGTAATTTCAAACGGGAAACAACAATATAAAACTGCTTACGGAATGTGAAAATGTAACCTGATTCTGCTGGTAATAAAACATGAGTTACAGTTACATATTCTATAAGCAGTTTTATTTTTTTTCCAGTCTGAAAATTATAGGCCACGGAAACTCCGACAATAATTCAGAATCACTCTGTATATTGTTCAGCTTAGTGTTCAGTACTTCCTGTCTCTTAGAAAGACTGTTCTCCTCAGCACTCCACAAACGCAGTCTGTATAATCTGATATGTGACGGCATATAGTCTGACGGAAGTTTACCGACGTTTCAGAATATAGTATTCTGTATAGTCGTCGCCATGAGACTCTAAAATCCACCCACAATCTGTGTTCTTACCTTATAACGAGAGACCAATTTTACACCAATATTAAACGACAGATACAATTAGACTTAATTCTGTTATTTACATTTTAAGTAGCAAGCGGGAAGGCAATGTTGTGAACTGAGTGAAATTGAAGCATTTATGGCCTTGATTTTTCGGTGAATGTAATTTTGCTTTGTGCCTATAGTCCCCAAATATCTGATTTCCATATTTTCGAAGGATTTATTTGGTGTCCTTTATTTTTTCTTTCCACGTAGACTTGGGACATGAGCATGAACTTAGTTCTGTCTGCATTTACTTTTTTAATGGATTATTATACTTCGCTGTCGGGATCTAGACTGTATAGCATCGAATAGTAAGGCGATCGATAAATTGGAAAGAATTTTTGGAAATTTCGTAATAGAAGCTGTTCTGCTCATATGCTTTAGAAGAAAGAACCCAGTACTACAGAAATAACTGGCATTATCACATCTTGAAAGTCGACTCTTCAAGACTGACTCACAAACTTGAGAATTGCCAACCAGACGGACGAAGAAATGTTCCACGACTGCGAAGACGATGGGATGATAGTCTCTGAGGCGGAACAGGCTAATAAAAGCCTACCTTGAAATGATGATGATGATGATCATCATAATCGCAGAAAATTTTAAAGGGATACAGTTTTACCCCACTCATCGACTCATGTTCTGCTCAATATAGCGTCTTTGTTTTTCTTTATCACGTTTATCTTTTCGCTACTCCGATCACAGTGGCCGCGCGGCCTAAGGCATGAACCGTCTTCGCCCTCTCGAACACTGGTATCGTGAATTCGAATCCTACTCGAGGCATGGGTGTCTGTGTGCGTGTATTGTGTGTGTTGTTCTGCGTGTAAGTAGCGGCCTTGCGACGGGCAGATCCTCCGTCCAAGGAGTCCTACCATCTGAGTATAGGATTAAGAAACTGAAAAAGTGTCCAAGGTCCAAAGGGCTGTAGAACCATAGAGAGAAAGAAATCTTTTCGTTACACCTATTAAAATCATCGGCATCATACCAGAAGTTAATGTGCCCAGTTCGTTTCCAATTTCTTCACTAATTCTCTCACTCATTTTGTGCATTCTGTAATGATCTTGCGGAGGACCTGAAGTTTGTTTTGCATACATTTGAGCGGAGCGATACGAGAGTTTAAGTTACGCACGAATGCGGGCTTCTTTTTGACGTTGCCTAAGGTAAAGTAATCCATCCATGAATTTCACGTGTCGATGTTTTAATACTTCAGATAATAGAACTCCGCAGTTTGTACACATGCACTGCCTTACTCGAAGTAGACTATTTAAAATTGCACGCACGGATCTGATGAATAGTATACCGAAAATATGTTGCTCTTTTAAAAGGTCATAGTAAAGTCGTTTGCTAAGAAAGTGTATCTTTTTGCTACATTAGAAGTGCCGAACGCGTTTTTTCTAACAAATTTGGAAAAGAAAACGGTTCCGTTATAATGCTGTTTTAGCACTGGCAACACAGCTACTGAGGTTACTTGGGATACATTAACACCGAAGAGAATTAAGTTTTCCAAATCTCATACCGTAGTTTAATTTGAAGTATTACAGTTATAACGAATTTTTAGGTGCTAAAATCAGAAAATATGTCTCGTATGTATTTCTTGAATATAAAGGACCCAGGATGGCGTAGTCGGTATAGCGACTGGCTACGGGCTGGACGTCCGAGGGGTCGGAGTTCGAGTCCTAGTAGGGTCAAGAATTTTCTCTTCTCCACGTCGTCCAGCCCGGCTCTGGCGCCCACCCAACCTCGTATCCGATGGATACTGGGGGCTCTTTCCCCGGGGGTAAAGCGGATTGGGTGTGAAGCTGACCACTCACATGCAGATAGTATCGAGGTCAAGAAAATATAGGTCTATAAATCTACTCCCCCTTACGTCTTCTTGGCGTAGTGCTTAATTAGTTAAACACATGGACTTTCCTATCTTTATGTCTTGAATGTAAAAAAAAATATATACGCTCCAAAAATTCGAAATTATTTTTAAACAAGCACCCGTTATGGCACAAACTACACACCAGAAGTCATCGTTATCTCAAAGAGAAAGTGAAGCTCTGGTGCAGTGTACCACGGAAATCATCTTTAAGTTGTGTATTGCAAATCTGTGTCTGCTATGTGTGAAGAGTGATTTGTACTGAGAACACGTACATTCCATAACACTTATTAGTCTTTCATGCTTGCATCACGCATTGTCACTAACACACAAATCTTTTCTATTTTGTTTTCGCAGACTCAGAAATTTAAAATTTGCCTTCAAGTATTCCAAGTTAGTTTTTGGCACCTGCAGTGCATTTGAGTCATTAAATATTTCTTACAACACTGCAGTAGAGGAAGCATCACCACTGCCAAATTCATTTATCACAGAACAAAGTATTTCAAGGTTGTCTGCATAATACACGGTGACATTCAGCCACGGTTGGGGCTTGGGGGTGCCTGGAGTTTTGTTTTAGAAGATCCCTTTTCGAGCTGACTACTTCACAAAGGTTTTCTTTTTATTAGCCAGTTACTTGAGCATATGCTACATATGTATGTATCAGTTTACGGTAGCTCACTGAAATTCCTTATGCTGCTTTTTTCTTATACGGCGTCTGTAACTGAGAAGAGCAGATTGTCAGATTTCACACTGTCTGCCCATAGAGCCTGCATACCTTCAGTGGAAGCACATGCCATGGAGTTAGAGAAGAGGGGATTTCTCTGGTACAGTTGGATCGTTTT